TGACAGGGAAACCAAAAATATTTATAAGCATAAGAAAATGCTAAATCATGGCTGAAATGCAGATCAGATAAACTGAAGGTTGAGATTAGTAAATAGTTTGACCTTTGAAGAACAGAGACAATCTATCATCACTGTTTATAGATAAGATCCTTTTTACTTTAACATTGAGTCCAATTCAGGAAAAAAATTAATAATACAATGGATAAAATTATTTTGTTTATCCCTTTTGATTGTAAAATACACCTAACAGCTCTTAGAATAGAATAGTCAATTATACCACTGACACTGAAGATACTTATCATCATGCAGATTGTTCAGAACAATTTTCATAGTCAATGAAGAAAAACCAAGACATAGCTTGGAGCTTCAATATAGAATAATTGGTAATAATCCTAGATATCTTCAGATTACAGTTGATTTGATTCATAAATGTATTCATTTTTTTAGGGGTTTTGTCCCCTTTAACTGTTTAATATTGATTAACAACGCAAGATATTTTTTAGGTAAAGTCTTTGAATGGCATTTAGCAATTGTGAGTACGATATATAGACACAGCTTTATAGAACAACAATCATTGGTTAACGTGATTGTTGTTCTATAAAGCTGTGTCTATATAATTGTTAGGTATATAAAAACCACAAAAGAATATACTAGAAATGTTTATTTCTTATCTAGATGACAGAAACTAGAATTAATTTAACAATTAAACAGTATATTAATTGGTCTTAATTACAATACAAAAATATCTTACACTCATAACATGCAGATTTACAGATATGCCTTGGCCCTTGCTTGTATTGCTAAGAAGCAAAACAGAGCATTAGATACTGATAACAACACCTGATTTGAAAATGGCATAATAATATAAAAACAATCTTTTATGATTGATTTTATGACAATAATCCCTTGGATATATAGTAGGCAAAGCTCTAAAATTCAATAAACTTTCAGGCCTTTTTTAAGTTTGCTCACAAAAGCAAATATATCCTAACACGTGACTCAATCAGACACAATACAGTTATGTTAAACTATATAAAATACAAATATACAAATGTTTGTATTTTCACACACTTCTGGTATAAGAATAAATATCGTGTCAAATCTTCTTGAATATAAACAATTGTCAAAAACATTTCATTATCACACAGAACAAGAACAACCTTGGTATAAAATAGCACATTAACAATAAAAGGCACTGTTACATACACATATATAACACCAATAACAAACTAGCAATAATAATAATAATAAATCTTTTGCATCAAATATTTTCATTCATAAGCCTAGTGGGTCAGAATTAACTGAAATCTCAACACTGATATAACAAGGCTATAATTGGCATTAAAGAGATATGTAGGCTTGATAAGAGTTCAAGACATACAGCAATCTGTGGTGAGTTAGTGATTATACTCATATGACTGGAAAACTAAAATTAAAATAAAAAATAATACCCCTGCCCTCACATCATAGCAACTACCAGGTAAATAATTAGAGAGATCAAGAGTACCAAATGCAACTCACAACTCACTTGCATTAGAATCTTATGAACACTCTTATTATTTGCAACACTATGCACCTGATGTGAAGGAATCTTTTCCATTTTGTGGTAACATTGGTATGCAATCTCAATGTGACTCATTATGTAACAAACATAGTTTGGTCAAATTAATATGAATTAAAAGTTCTAATATCTCAATGCAAGATAAAATATAAAACACAATTAAAATTGTTAGTATAAGCGTTAATTAACAAAATAAATCAACAATTCATTAACAATATTTGAAGTTCCTACACTACTTGTGTAGAAACTGTTAAAAACAAATTTTGATTAAAAGGATTGATAGACTTGCAAATGTTTCAAAAAAATATCTTCTATTGACACCATGGCATAAAATGATTTAATCTCATTGCAGTTTATATGTCACAAGATATATCACATCAAAATTATTTAATGCCCTCTTCAAACTGGGTTTGATAGCCTAGACAGAAAAATAAATCAACGATCTTGAAAGATATGTTATTGATAATTGTACCCAATAGTTTTATTTGAAATCAATAAATCTAGAAGATTTTCAAAAAAGCCACCCTCATTATTGCAAAACATTATTTAAAATAAAAAGAAACACTTCAACAGAACAAATTAAAACAAAAAACATAAAATTCTGGTCCAAAACTTTTGGAAATATTAAAACACGTTTAGACTTCCTGTCCAAAAGGTCAACTGGTCACTGACCTCCATTGGTCTTCAAAGTCATCCGGTTAATGCAGTTTTTGACTTTCGGAGTACTGGTTAGATTCATTTTCAAATCTTGAGGCTGAAAAAAATAAATAAAAAATTGTGAATTATGATTGGTCACTAAAGTGAAGTTATTCAGTTCAGAAAAATAGAGTCAGTATCACTTCTACAAGGAGTCAACAAAGATATTAATGCACATCCAGGCATGATTCAAATCATAAACACAAGCAGTCCAAATAATAAAATGGGATAAGTAGTTATCAGTAGAATAAAAATCTGCTTTATAAAATGCCAATAACAACTAACTTTACCTCAAAACAAAATGGACTGTTTTTCTTTAGGTTTTTTAATAGTCCATGGATGTGCATTCAAATTAAATTTGCAAGAGTAAAAATCTTATTTCAAACTTGAAACCTATGATCTCATTCTCAAATAGCTTATCATTTCAGAAGGTTTCCTATTCTGGCAGTGGAATAGCTCAGTCCATAGACACTTGGATTGTCGTCTGCTAGGTGATAAGGTGTTGTGGGTTTGTGGGTTCGAATCCTCTTCAGTGTAAGAAAAATTCTAATGCTAAGACCAGTGATTCCTAAAGTCTGTCTTATCTTAATTAACCTATTTATATTAAGTCTATTAAATTACAGCATATGCTTTCAAAAGACTCTTGTCTGATTGAAATTTCTTAAAACTATAGAATGTTAATCCAATTTTTGTTGCATAAAAAACGAATGTTAGTGAAAAAATAAATTATTTGGAAAAGAAATGAAACTAAATAGAGAATTCAAAATGGCTGTTATTAATAAAAACACTTCAAAAAGCATTTGTAAAATTGTGGGCCTGCTGCAAAATGAGGCAAATAAAGAAGATTAAAAGAAAAAGGGGCAATAACTCATGCAGTGCTTAATGTGTACCTTTCTTCAACATCAGACATAAGCTACTCTCTGAAAATTGATTAAATTCACCATCAAAATAATAATATGGCAGATTTCTTAACATATCAATATTCATGAAATTATGCATATTTATATTCAATTTGACAAGATATAAATCATCAATTTTGGTTGAAACCTTGGAACATTCAATGAAAAACTTCCAATGGCATAAACGCAGTGAAGAAAACCTTTACCATTCAAAAGCCATTTACCAAATTCCTAAACGAAGCCAATGTCCTTTATAACCCATTAAGAAAACTTACCCTGGTAAGAGTCTTGTATTCACGTTGAGCCAAAATGGCAGCTGGTCCCGAGGGTAAATTACGGAATAATTGAAATGAGTCCAGTAAAGTCATCTCATGCATTGGATGTCCATTAACTTCTATTAACATATCACCTTTTCTGAAAAATTAAATCATCAAAATGAATGTAACTAAACCACTGTTAATGGTAGTACAGTCAAAATTGACTGCTTACAGGTGGTTGTAAAGAGCTGTACAGGTTATTTGTAGATCAGATCAAGATCTGTTCAATTCTTTTGTGATCCTTCACTTAATCAGAAACCAGTTAAAACCTAAACTTACTTTAATCTATTGTCTGTGTAGGCCGGGGATGGGTTGATGATATCTTGTATATAAATATTACTAATACCAGCTATAGTCTTTCTGACCACATTAATACCTAAACTCACTCCATCAGCTATAATATAAATATAGGAAATAGTAAATACAATGTATATGCTTTATAGAATGAGAAAGCTGTATTTCAGCTCTCTGTATCTCGTTTCAGATTTACATTGAGTGCTCAGTTCATCTACAATTTCATACATACAAACTTGGTGCCCGTGTAAGTTTACATGCCATTCATTTTGAATATTCTCTAATGCAGATACATATTGATGGGTGTGTTCGATGTATGATTCTACACACACTTGACTACAGCAATCAGACAGAACACAGAACAGAATGCAAAACATGTGAATCAAGCATGTCAGTTGTGAATAACAGCAAGTTTACTCAAATTGATTTGACTTACTTTTGTGTAGAAGAACGTCAAACTGTCTGAATTGTTTCTCTGATTCATGAGATTCCCACATCACTCCAGCATTAGTGAAGTTATTACTCACATTACCATTGGTATAGCCAGCAGACGCGGAGCTACTTGATGACATCATACTGAATGAGGAGGAAGTTGAATGGCTGAATGAGGATTCCATATGTCTCATAGCAGACAACATATTCTGTTCCATCATTCTGTCGGCATGATTGAACAGTTGGTTGGCATTATTCATGGGAGACAAGAGATTACATTGGTTCTGGAAAGCACTTTGTAACAAGATCTCACTGGATGGAGAGTAAAAAGGTAGCCTATAAGGTGGTAGATTTTGATTGTTGGTCTCTATACCAAATACTGATGGATCTGAGATACTGTTTTGAGGAGTGTGTCTTGGACTTTGACTGGGTGTTGAAACAGGACTACCATCTAGAGATTCAGTAGAGTCTTGTCTGGGACTGAAACAGAAAAGATAAACATATTACAGAAAGGCAGTAAAAATGACAGATATATTGGGTATCATTTGAGTGATCACTCCAAAATGATTTCTTAATGAAGGTGGTCTTTTAGACCTGACTAAGTCATTAATTATGTTGAAAAGTCGTAGTGGTGACTATATTGTGGTCGTATATTGAAGGGGGTCTTGTTGAGCGTGCTATGCTGAATACATGATCTTTGGACTTCTGGTAAAGTCTAAAAAAAGCAATCCTTTCCAATTAAAGTTATAAAATACTTTCATGACAATGAAACAACATTTACCTGCTGCATGGGGAGGTAATACGACCTCTATAGGTCAAGGTCACTAAGCCTTTCTTCAAACTTCGGAATCTTTGAAGAACTTCTTTATGTGTTAAACCATACAGTGATTCAGCATTCAGTTCCAGCAACTCATCGCCTAAAAATACAAAACATAGAGAGCTATCAGATAAGGTTTTAATCACCAGAAGGCTAAGGACACAACCAACCCAATAAGCATTGATCTGCTAAGACTATTATGCTATTTTGATTTACTTATTGTAAGTGCTTGATTTATTATTAGTAGAAGTTTGACAGTTGGAGTCTGTTGGGTTCTATTGGTAGTGCCTATGCGCATAAGACTATGTATCATGGATGTGAATGTAGTGCACTGAGATCTTTTGTTATATTTTTGGGAATTTTTCTGGGTTTGTGATATAGTTGGATGAATCAATTCACTTAATTTTTTCTGAATTGCAAAATAAAAACCAACCCTCATGAATTCTGCCATCTTCCGATATCAAACCATTAGAAAATATTCTTCGTATAAATATACCAATGTTCCCTTTAGCTGAGTCTTTTCCACCAACAATACTGAATCCCAAACCCTTTCCACCTGCTCCTTTCTGTACTGTGATAGTTTGAGCTGGACCATAACGAGGTGACCGTGATCCACAAGTATACTGGGGTAATGATGGTGGTGAACTGGGCGAAGGATTGTCTATTGGTTTGAACTTCTAGAAAAAAATATAATTACACAATATTAACACAAGAAAAAGTCAGATTTATTGAGGTACATCTTAAAATATAATGTTATATGAAGTCTAGTTTCTTGCATTTAATTTTAAGCTCACTGATAAACAGAAATAATAGATTAATTGTATGCAACAACAAGATGATTCCAGACCAATTTTACTGAATAATAGATAAAAATCCAGCAAATATTGAAACACACCACTCACATCAAAGAGTTCTTCCCATTTCACTACTGAACCACAAGGTGTTTGAGCTATGACTTCTGGGACTGGAGGGAAACAGCTGTCACTGTGACCATTCTGTGGAATTGGAGACAAAATTCTGGGGCTTTCACAATGAGATGCTGATAATGTTGATGCTACAGATGCAGATTTTCTGATCTGAAAAATAAAAAACAAATATAAAATTCAACCTTCCATCTAGTTTACAGTCAATGTCATAAAAGAAAAAATTCGAAAGCATGAAAAAAAAAAAAAAATGAAACAGAGCACTCAATCAATTCTATAATTATAAATCCCTGAATGGAAACACAGAATAAATAAAAAATATTATTTATTAATAAAGTATCTGTCTTCTTGCCTTAAACATAGGCTTGCATACTCTTTAGGGCCAAACGTTTAACAAACCTTTGATGAGACAACAAGTTGAACTAATTTGGGAGCATTGCGTAAAACCTCCACCGCATCAGAATGAGTTAGTCCAATTAAACTTCTACCATTTATCATCAATAATTCATCATTTCTTTTTAATCTACCATCTCTATAAACAGTGAGAAATGACAAAGATAATAAGAGTTTGCTCCCTTTATATATAGTTATATGAAGTCTCAAAAGGAGATAAAATGATGACAAGTTTGCTGTTCAAATATTGCATTGATACCATAAGATTAAAACAATAAAAAAGTCATCAAAACTTTATTTTTATTAAAGCATATTAAGTTCCTTTTTATCCTAATTGAAAAAGAATCTCATTAATAGTAGAAAGAAAGTCTACAAGAAACAAGTCAAATAGAGGAACATTTCTTTCATAAATCTGTATAGTATTCCATAATACATCTTCTTAACAAAAACATGATAGGATTGATAGGTCCAAAACATTTCAAAACAAGATTACTTACCTGTTAGCTGCTCCTTCTTCAGTAATTCCTGCAACAAAAATACCAATATCACCTTTCTTGGAACCCTTCCCTCCTGCTATATGTATTCCTAAACCATTCTCATCTTTGAGTAGATGGATTTTAGTCACAATTCTCCTCTGGAATTAATAATGATTAAGGTTTTCATGATCTATGAATGCAACAAAATAATATTAATATATCAATTAGGATCCAGAAATAACATAATATAAATGGTGGATACCTGTTGTTTTGAGATCCTATGTATTATACGTTTATAACAATTATTACACGAAACTTCCAATTCCGCTAAAACTTCCAGACATTTGTTAAAAATAGGAGAGCATACTGTGTATGCCATCGCTATGCTATGAAGAACTTATGATAACAATCAAAGTTTCAATCTTATATAGAGAGAGACCAAAACAATCAACAATTACCCCATTTCATAGTGAACTTTCAAACACTTTAATATTGTGACATTTCTCATTTTTGTCTACGTCACATTTCAGATATGCTGATGTTTATTTCCAAATTGAAAAACAAGATATTAATTTTTGCTGACAGCTTCAAGTTTAAAATAGATATGTTCTCAGTATCCTGTTCTCAAGTTTCCAGAAACCATATACGTTTTAAGATTCAGTATTGTCAAGCTTGAGATTAGATAGATGACAAGGAATCAATATTTATCTTTATAAATATACTCTACTATTTTGATTATTTTGTTTTCGTGAATATTTCTTCACTTGTTTTGAGACAAAATTGATTGTTTTGATAATTGCTTTGTATTTCATATATTGTTGATTGTGAAAGGAGAACCTGATTAAAACAGTTGTCTTAACATAATGTTACAAGAGTAGGTCTATTTAGAAAACAAAGACTAATTTCAGTGGTCGGGGGGGTTCATTCAAAGTAAGTTGATTTCAGTGTGCAAACACAAGGCACCACCTGCTCTAATGGAAGCAGAATAAAGAAATAGTATTTACCTTGTTTGCAGACACAGGAGAAGATGAGGCACTATTGGGATAATTTTCAGATGGACAGCTACAGACTGTTGCAGGAGAGCCCAATTCACCATTACGATTGTCATTTGATTTGAGTAAATTACGTTCTACAAGTCGTCTCAATGGAGTCACATTGGTGCTTGATGATTTACTGTGATTTCCACTAGATAAAGATTCACAACTGGCACATCTTATGCCATTTTCATTTACTAATGTAGAAGTTGACGTCTGCCTCTGAAGGTCAGTTATATTGTTATTTCTCTGATTGCACTGTTTAGAGTTATTATTTGCTGACCAATTGACAACATCCTCTACTGCTGACGTACTGTGAGTTCTCTGATTACAGTTTTCACAATAATGATACTGACAACCCTGACACCCCCCATTGTTATTCAGGGGTTTACCTTTTAATAAATTATATTTGGGGATATTCACATAGATCACTTTGTCTTCTGGAGTAGAAGAATCAGCAAATACATCATCATTGGATATACTCAATTCAGCATTGGAAGAAGAAAGGGTACCATTTGTGGGAACTCTACCATTAGAATAGGGTATGCCATGTCCAGTATTGAATTCACTCGGTAGACAAGTAGTGGATTGAGACATAGCTTGACAATATAGTCCAATGGATCCTCTTGGTTTACTGTTCTGGCTGGTGTGACTCTGTAGCGACGTTTGACGAACAGGAAGTGGTGGTGGTGCTGATGGTCTTCTACGTCTCCTTCTCAAGGTCATCGAAAGGTGACCACTGTCAATCGCATTTTTAAGAAGTATTCTGAAAATAGAAATAAGTTATTGATAAAAATTTTTTTACAAAGTTGCACCTAAATGTAGGGTACAAATTTTAAATTTTTCCAGATCTGCAAGTTCACAAGAATCATGAAACTCAGTTTTGACTGCAGGACCTCACCTTGAAATAAAGTTACATGTCCATACTGAATAGTTGATACCATAGATGTCAAATCTGAAAATTAACTACAATGAAAAAAGCCTTAAATCACTTTTGAAACAACAGTGAAGAAACCTAGGCTTTTGTGAAAAAGGAATATAAAAGAACAATTGATATTAATATATCAAAACTAAATCTCTAATTAACCTTATAAAACCCAATTTTGTCATCTTCTTAACTATTCTTGTTTTGACTTTATCAAAATAATATTGTTTGATTTTCTCTGCTTTCTTCATATCCTTGTCGGTCTGATGATTCTATCAACAATAAAGTATGAGACTATAGAGATGACTTATATATAAGTATAATTATCACCAAGCATCACAGTTTGACTCACTTGTATATTTCTACGTCATGGAATAATATATAAGAGTACAGCAAACCCTGTCATCTGAAAAAGGTCTTTCTGATTGATTACGATACCTATAGGAAAACAAATTGAATATCATACTGTTTTGAAAATTTCAAAACAAAAATATAGTTTCCTCTATTAACATTAATAATAAAACCCAAATTGACTTCATAATTTTTACAAAAAAAACTGATGTTAAGGAAGTTTTCAGGCACGATTTCCCTAGCCTCCTCTATTTCTATATACATATACTACTGTACAAGGTCTCTTTAAAAGACTTTAATGCTATAAGTTGAATGTATGTCATGTTGGTCTCCAGTCAGCCAGCTGTAATCAGTGTTAATTAACCTGTTTAATTACTTGTATGTTTCCATAAAAAAGGTTCTCACTTCAGATCCTTTTCGCTTTTATCTATTATACTATATGCAGATTGATGCAGACACATGTTTTAACATACAATCACAATCAGGATAGGTAGTTCTGAAACTTTTTTCAAATACATAAACTCATAGCACAGAACCAAAAGTCGAAATTGAGAATATTCTACAGTATCTTTGATTCATATCTTATTGAAATTTTGTCCCTTGACACAATCATCATCAAGATCACTATGTTATGATTCCTTCTATGCCATTGTTCAAATGTTTGGTGACATTTCACTCATCCCAGTTCAATGCATATAAAATTCCTTACAAGATCAGTGTTCATTGGTCATGCTGTAATACAGCATTCATTTTGTAGTGTAGGCTGGAAAGACTGTAGACCTATTAATATGATTTAAGAATATGCTGGTCGGTGTGATATCCCCATGTATATTTTATCAGAACAGAAGATTTCATCTGTAAGAAATCTGGATGTTTATTTCTCCCTGTCATCTATACAATCTATCTGATTGTTGGCCAAGTTAAAAACACAAACAAGCTTCTATCTAGAATAAGTCTATTACTGGCAGTGTTATCAACTCTTACAGATAAGGTATCACTGATGGAGGTTGAGTTTCCATCAGAAATAATTTCACCAGATCAAAGTCTCAAGTTGGCAATGAGATATGAAGTCTTATCTTGAGGAATTTGTAAAATGAAAACAGTCCAAGACATCTAAACTGCCATTGATTCAACAACATTATGTTCACAATGGCATAAACCGGATCAGTTTTTAATTCTACAGTCTTACTTCTTTTCCTTTTCTGTATCATGTCCTTTGTTGTCCTTCAAGATACCTTCTTAAAAATAAAAATGCTTTAATTTTCAAAGCACGTGGCAGGAACATTCATTTTCTTCAGATGTATAGTAAATCACATGTACATACCAAATATAATAATATCCAAAATCCAGGTAAATAGCTTTCAATTCACAGCTTATTTCCACTGAAATTGTGGCTGGAAAGCGTCATATATAGCATAAGATCATAGCTATGTAATATTACATCGCCACCTAGTGACTCAATTCAGTAAAGCACAATCCGTCAAGCGGCCTATTTCAGCTAGAGATGATGCATCGCTTGTAGATAAATGATGGAGAAATTATGTGTTAAACACGTGGCTAGGAAGTTTGGTCTTGCTCATCAGTTTCTATTTGGTCAGCTTTCTAAATATATACCAGGAAATTGTTATTTTACATTAAGTTATTTACTTATTGATGATTTCATAAAGTAGTGACATAGCAATTGAATTAGACAATTATTGATATTTTTCGTCCTAATTTTTATTAAAAAATTCTGATTTATACTGAACTGCATCTTCATGTCTTTTATGAAGGTCAAAGCTTTTGACAGTACACTATATAATGTTTATAAACAATTTGAAATATAAGGACTGATAATGCTGATACTCATGGACAAACTCATCAGGTAATAAATGGCCCACTCAGTCTTCACAATCCAGCACAGATGTTCTTGCATTAGAATTCAAATTCCACAATAAACCACTAACAAATCAGGCTTTAATCTGTACTAATCTACCAGAGAAGAACAGGCTTATTCCACTCAGACATTAATTCATGGTGTATCACTAATGAACACATAATCTTCTTTCTATATCTATAATCCATAGACAGGAAACAAAACGCTGTATATTATAATCCAGGTCAGTAGAGCACTGAGGTATCTATTATATAGTGAACATTGTTAATAAATAATGGAATCTTTTCCTTCTATATGAATAGGATAATACTTTAAAAATTTGAATAAATTGAAATACCAAGCTTACAAATCTTTTATGATTACTGTCACATGTGTCCCTTTTCATTCTAATATCTGACTTTTTATTGGCTTTTCAACATTCTATTGTGATTATCTGGTTTCAAGAATTTATTTCTTACAGTCTATTATGCGTACAACCC